GGTATTCAAGCTATCGAGGTCAACTGCAAACTTATTATTTACTAAAGTATGAAATATTTCCACTGCTTCCAAAATACGTCCGTTCTTGCAAAGTTTATCAATGAAAATGCTATGTGTCCAAGAATCAAGTAAAACACCATAAAGTTGCATCTCACCAACTAAGTTCTGTGCATATTTTACATTAGCTTTAAGAAAAAGGCAAGTTAACAAAATGTTACGTATAATCACATTAGGCCTAATTCCTTCTAAAATCACCTCTCGAAAAAGACTAAGAACTTTGTTAACTTCTTTATTCTTGCAATACCAATTAGTCAAAGTATTGTAGAAAACAACATTAGGTCCATATCCCTTTCTAGTTAAAATTTCTTCATTTATAAGATCAGTTTTTATGTTGTTTATTAGAGACTACTATTAGAGGTGCACCACGAGGCTGTGAAGTCAAATTTGAAGTTCATTAGAGACTATACTTTAAATAATAGATAGCATCAATAAGAAGAGAGAAAAAATTTACAGCTATAAGACTTTTGTATTCTAATTTTTCAAGGCATCATACTCTGCTAGAGAATCGATGAGACATGAGGAAGAATCTTGAACCTTTCTATCAATGGTCTTGACATGCTATTCTCTCAACTAATTTCTCTTATTCAATGATAGTGGATGGATCATTATGTATTTATTAACATTAGTTTGTTGTTTATTGATAAATTTTCCATCTTCTCCTCTTTGTTTTTATGTTTCTCCTATGCAACACAAATTTTATGAGATAATTTTAATAATGTTTAATCAAGATGCTCATAATCATTGTTTGCTTATTGATTAAAATTTTCTTACGTCAATCAACAACACAACTACTTTTATAAGATAACATAAAATGCTTAATCAAAATGATTATATTAATTTAATCTTCTTTATAAAAATATTATTTAAGTGCAAAACATTTAACTTATTTATGACTTTCATTTTAAAATTAATATTTTCATTTTAAAAGAAGGACATTTATGACTTTTCAACATTCATAAGAAACCTTAGGTTTTGCCCTACTTTGTACCCTTTTTTTTCCTTTCCTCTTTCCTCCCTTCTTTCTTTTCACTCTCTCCTCCCTCTTCTTCCTCCCTTCTCATCGGGCTACCCCATGGCCATATGAAGTTTCTAACAATTGCATAGAGATAGGATCTAGCTCTACTGGCCTAAAGAGGTTTAAATTTGACCTTTATTAGATTCAGCCTCACCATCATCGTAAGCTAGATCTAGCCTCTAGGCACTAGATCCAACCTCTATGGTAGGGATGTAAAAACCTTAAACCTGGTCAAGCTTGCCCTAGCTCGACTAGGACTGTTAGTTGAGCCGAGCCGCTCGCGAGTCGGCTCAGCTCGACTTGTTAAATACTCGAGCTCGACTCAAGCAGTACTCGTAATAAGTGTCGGGCTGAGTTTGAGTTTACCTCAGCTCGGCTCGGCTTGAGTAGGCTTGTGAGTCAATATGACTCGTTTGGGTTTTTATGCGATAATTACAAGTAATAGGTCTGTTTTGTAATTGACATGCAAAAGGTTTAAAATTGCTATGCATTGCTGCGCATGGCTGCACCTAGTTGCATATTGCCGCACGCCACTAGGCAATCCCAATGGTCCTTGGTTGTGCCTTCATGCACGACTAGCCTTCAATCAAAGGGGTATCGCCTCACAACGCATTACCTTTGGCGCATGGCGCCTAGGTGCTTGCTTGTGCAAGTAAATTGAACTAACACATCAAAAGATTCCACACAAGATGGTAAACCTAGTGTCTATGGAATATATCCTCTTAGGGATGCGGGTGCATGTGGTCCTTCGACTTGAGATCACCAGAGCGCCGTGTGTAAATATTGATGTAATTTGACACTAGCCTAACGTCATCTCTTTTAGGGATTATCATAACGGTGGTGATTGGTTACATTGAGAAGTACACTATGGCTGTGGTGGATCAACAAAGGATTCATCACTCCTAGTTACAGGAGATCTTATCTCAGCAAGATATTTGGTTAAAGAACTACGACATCAAATCTGTGGCCACGGTGAAATTGAGTTGGTGCTTGAATCCAATAGTCGTCAGATTCAAAACCAAATATAGAACATGTCAAGGTAGCTTTTGAGGTGGACACTATTCCTATACCTCAAACCTTAATGAGATAAAAGATGATGAAATAGATCAAATTGCACAGTAACCATATCAAAGTCAAGGTAAGCCTAAATAACTAATTCTTTTCTTACCAGGGAATCATGATCCCTTGCTAAAGGTCAATCTTGATTGGTGTACGAAAACACTAATTACTTGATGCTTAATTAGTTATCAGGACACTGCCAGCAAATGAAGAGCCTTCAGGTCACACACATAGAAGGTAGTTAAGAGAGAAGTGGAAATGGAAGGAAAATCTTGTCCTTGGGCCAAAAAGGGTATTTCGATAATTTCAGAGTCCAGGGGCATTTTTGTCATTATGAGCAAAAAGGGCACTTTGGTAATTTTGCTAAGGGGTTAACGCCATTATCCAATTTATTGGGAGAATTTTTAGCAAAATTGGAATCATATTAATTTTAATTAATATATAAAATATATATTTAATTTAATTAAATATATATTAAAGCCCATGTATTAAATATGATAAATATATATATAAAATATATGGATTAAATAAATAGCAATATTTATTTAATTAGAATATGTATTTATATAGGAAATAAATAAATAGAAATATTTATTTAATTAGGATTCATTTAAGGAGAATATCTTTGAGAGATATTCTAATCCCTTATATCAAGGTTTGCAATCCAATTCAAATAGGAATTAAAAGGATTGTAATCCAATCCAAATAGGAATTAAGGATTTACAATCCTTATTGGATTCTTATTTGGGATTTCCTATATAAAGAGTCATTGGGTTTTGATTTAATAAAACAATTATTGAAAAGTTGATTTTGCAAATTAAAGAGCAAAATTAACTCTCCCAAAAACCCTAGCCGCCAACCATAGAGAGAGAAATTCTCTCTCTAAAATCCGCCATCTCCCTTAAGCCCTCCAATTGATCTAGTAGTCAATCTTAGGGTGATCTCAAGCCTGCCTTCAAGTGGATACCATCAAACTCGATCCTACATTGGATCGATAGCGAAGTACTTGTGAACAGTATCAGTGAATAATACTCATGAATAGTACCCATGAAAAGTCCAGTGAACAGTTCCGATGAACAGTGCATGAACAATACTGAAAGTTATAATCTAAAGAAGGAGTCGCCAACAGGAGGTATAATCCTATCCTTGTATGGGTTAATTTATGTAGGTTAATATATCGAAATCGTGATCTTGGGTAATTGAATCATGGCATGGCGAGAATTTTTTTTTTTTTTTTTTNAAGTTTAATAGTTTAAATAAGAGTTGGAATCTTAGTAGGACACTAAGTCCTATTTTGGGAGATAATCCCTATCATGAAAGAGATATGATTTCTTGACCTTATCAGATCAAGTTTAATAGTTTGAGTAAGATTTGAAATCTTAGTAGAAGAGGAAATAGAATGAGATTCTGATTTCCTATTTATACTCTGTTGCAGGCTAATGGGCTGAAACCCAATTTAGCTTAACTTATAGGATAGCCCAACTCATAGAGTGGGTAGGTCGCAAGGTGATTTTAAACGTGGGCCCCATCGGGATTGGGTTGAGGCCTTGGGCCGTGACATGTTTATTTCCTTATTGGGCTCCGTCAAGCCCAAGACGATTTTTGGCCCTAACAGATACCATCAGACTCGATCCTACATTGGATCGATAGTGAAGTACTTGTGAACAGTACCAGTGAATAGTACTCATGAATAGTACCCCTATGAACAGTGCATGAACAATACTGAAAGTTATAATCTAAAGAAGGAGTCGCCAACAGGAGGTATAATCCTATCCTTGTATGGGTTAATTTATGTAGGTTAATATATCGAAATCGTGATCTTGGGTAATTGAATCATGGCATGGCAAGAAATTTTTTTTTTTTTTTTTTGTTATTATTCTACGCTTGCCACGACATGAAGTTCTGGATGCATGTCATGGGATGCATTCAGGCATCCAAAACTAACAAATGAAATATAAAATGTGATAACTGTAAAGAATCGATAAATAAAATGACAATTATAAATAGACGCGTCCATGAAGGCGGTATTTAACAATAATAAATAAATCTGACCATAAAGATGAAATTTAACAGTAATAAATATATCCGACTATAAAGGCAGATTTTAAAAGTAATAAATAAATCTAACCATGGAGGCGGAAATTAACAGTAATAAATAAATCCGACCATGGATGCGTAATTTAATAATAATAAATAAATCCGACTATGGAGGTGGAATCTAACAATAATAAATGAATCTAACTATAAAGGCGGAAACAAAGATTAAAGAACACATGTGAGATTGAAAATACGCGGAAGTTAATGATAATAAATAAATCCAGCCATAAAAGCAGAAACAGGGATTAAATAATATTTATAAGGTTGAAAATACATACTTTCAGTAGGCCTACACCGTTATAATTGATAAGCTAGTCGTGTTGATAACGTGTTATAGTTTAGTGATGCAATTCAGTAATAATTCAGGAAGGATAAAGTGGAGAAAATAAAATAAAAGGGATGAAAGTGAGAGTTGTGCGAGGTGTTTGCTTTAATCTTGGATGGAGTGAAGAATGAAAGGGATTGGAGGGGTATTTACAACCAATAGCCTTTAACCGACTCAAGGTTACCTCCACCACTAGGTAAATGGTGGAGGTTCACCTTTTTATAATAGTTGAAGATATTTATTTTTATATAATTAATCTAAAGTGTGTAAAGGGAATTATGGGAATGTAGTTAGGCTCAATCCAACTTGCGGCCCATTTACTTTACAACAAGACTAGACTGAGGCTGGGCCGTTCAGACTCGGTTTACTACTTACAACCTTAGCATGCAAGCCTATTAGGCCATAACCATAAATCTGCATAGCGAGTTAGCGACTGCCCAGACTCGGGAGTAGAAAACGCGAAGTTGCAAAACAGAAAACAAACCCCAGAGTTGAGTTCGGTTTCTCATATATGAAAACTTAAAAACTCACCATGTGCATCTCTTGAACTCAACGACCCAACCCGTGCTTTCTCTATTTCTTGGCATTCACGTAACGGGTTCTTCTTCCTCTTTCTTTGTATTTTGTTTCTATTTATCTTTTTTGTTTTTTTTTTTTTTTAGAATTGTAAACGTTACAGGTTTTTCTTTCCTTTTCTGGGTTTCTCTCATTTTTCAGGAGAAACAAACACTCTCCCTCGTTTATCAACTCTCTCGTTTTCGATAAAGTTCTTGTTTTTATCCATTTTAATTCTTGTTTGACTCTTTAAAAGTATCTTTTATTCTTTTATACTTGAGGTTTGTGATGCTTTTTAACTCTGTTTTCTGTTCTGTTTTGTTATGTTAACCCATTACAAAACCACAGTTTAATTCTTGTTTTACTATTTAGGTATCAACCTATTTGATGGCTATTGAGCAATCTTTTCTTTGTAATAACAAAAATATGGGCAAAGACTAGGGCTTTAATTAAGTTCATAACTGATTATTGATATGATTATGAACGGTTATGTTTCAGCTGCGGATTCTGATGTTTTGCTTTTGCATGTTTGTTGTGTTACAGTGTTAGAACATTTTAGATAATGATGATTACACAACTTAATGGTGGTAGACTTTCTAGTGGACTGAGAACTAGAAATAGACATCAGAATTCAGTGGCCAAAGCAATTACATCAAGGTTTCTATTGCAACAAGGTGGAGTTCGTGATTCTTGTGTAGCATTTGATAGGAATTGCCGCCTGTCCTTGGAGCATAGAAGTAGTGTGCCATTCTTGGTTACTCGTGGTAGAAATTCTAATTTTCTGGTGGCTTATGATCCGCTGAATTCTGATTTGAGTGTGGATTCTGCTGATGGTGAGGAGACGTTTTTTTTAGAAGATGACAGTGGTTTCAACTGTTTGTCCGGAAAATACCCGTAAGACTGAAAACACAACATTTGGTTGTTTTTTTTTTTTTTTTTTTTTTTTTTACTTTAGTTGCATTTTTTGTGTTTGGGTTGCATTGTGCATTTGTATGTGAATAACGTGCATGTAATTTTGTATTATATTTATGTTCCTATTCTGCTTGGTTGAATGAGTGTAGTTCTTACTATTCTTGAGTCAGTTCATTTGTATATGAAAAGATTATGATTGATTTTTGAATATTGCTTGGTGTTAGTGCATCTATGGCTGTGTCAATTTTTTTGTAATTTTGTCTGCAGCAAGTTAGAAAGGATACCTATCGGTGATTATCTAGATTCCAAAAGCGAGGTTGACACAGCACATTCTCTAGATATCAAGCGTGAGCTTACTATGCTTACTTTGCCTGCAATTGCGGGACAGGCCCTTGATCCCTTAGCACAGCTGATGGAGACTGCTTATATTGGTAGAATAGGTAGGTTTGATGATATATACATTTGTTTGATTTTCAATTTTTTGCTGGTATATATATATTTGTTGTTCAATTTTTTGCTGGTATTAAAACCTTTATTGCATTTGATCTATTAACACCAATTTTGTTTTATCTAAGACGTGCTTTGTTCTGATTCATTATATTAAAGCTGAGCTGGATTGCGGTTCTTTAGTTTTGCCTATTGTTTTCTTATGAAAGCTTAATTTGGTGCTGTAGGTTCTGTCGAGTTGGCTTCTGCAGGTGTTTCTATATCGATCTTTAATATTATCTCGAAGTTGTTTAATTTTCCTCTCCTCAGTGTTGCTACTTCTTATGTTGCTGAGGAAGTTTCAAGTAATGCAATTGAAGATTTAACATCAGGTCAATATAAACTGGCAATCTATTGCATGATGGTCTTTATTGAATTTTAGAAGATTCAACATTTTTACATTCACCACATCTAACTGGGTTTTATTCTTGTGTAGTAGGAGGCGGTGGTAATAGAACACGTTTAACTGAGACGAGCAAAAGAAAGCAGTTAGCCTCAGTGTCAACAGCTTTACTGTTGGCAGTTGGGATTGGCATCTTTGAGGCCTTAGCACTATTTTTGGGTTCTGGACCATTTCTAAACTTGATGGGTGTACCATTGTTAAGTCTACAGCACTAAGTTCATGTGTCATTGCTGATAATCTTATGCTTCTCTGTCTTGAAGTGTGTTTTAATTTATGCTTCTCTTTCTCTAATTTTGTCTTTTGTTATGCGTGTGTATATTATTATCTTCATATTCTTTCTCTTTGTTGGTTTAATCTTGCAGTTTGACTTATTACTTGATTTATTCTTGAAGGATTTCATTTGATTATCTTTCTCTACTAAGAAATTTGATATTCTATGCTCTTGCTATTTTTTTTTTAACAGGCATCTGAGATGTTTGCTCCAGCTCAAAGATTTCTCAAGCTCAGAGCCCTTGGAGCTCCAGCAGTAGTAGTTTCCTTGTCTCTTAATGGCATATTTCGTGGATTTAAAGATACAAAGACTCCTTTTATATGTCTAGGCAAGTATTTGCTTTAACTTTTGGATGCATAAAATGGTAAGGGTAGGCTGGCTTGAGTTTTGTTCCCTAAGCATTTCTGAATTTAGTGATCACATAATTTTATATATTAAAATCTTTGGTTTTCCTGTCACTTAGATCTCTATGTTTGGTCTTGTTATGTTTCAAACCTTTATATTATTCAGCGTTTTACAATGTTTTCTCAATGAAGAATTTGAAAAGCTCAGTATGTGTGCTCCTGTGAGCGTGCACGCATGCATGCAGGTTGTTGATTTCTGTTTTTGCAAAAGTTGGATGGTGTTGGGTGTGATTTTGTGTCTTAACCTTTTTTTTTTTTTTTTTTTTTTTTTTTTTTTTTTTTTTTTAAAACTCTTTGTTGTTGAATACATGGAAATTGGAACATTTGTATTTACTATGTTATCTACATTTATAAATTTTATTGAAGTGATTACTATTGTAAGATTGGTTGATTTATTTCCCTTTGTAGTTCATTAATTTTCTTCTTCAAATTCTTTTTAGTTTTCTTATGATAAAAAATTAAAATTTTACAAGCTCATGTTTATTTCTTTTCATTCTCTTCTGACTATTTTCAGCTGTTCCATATGCAGGTCTTGGTAACTTGTTAGCTGTATTCTTATTTCCCATATTTATCAATTACTGTCAGATGGGTATAACTGGAGCAGCAATATCGACTGTGATGTCTCAGTATGTGCCATATGAATTGGTTTTGTTCTTCCTTGAATATATTTATATATATCTTTTTATTTTAAAGAATACTTGTGATAAAACGTTATGTGTTAGGTACATTGTTGCTGCTGCAATGATCTGGTATTTGAACAAGAAAGTTGTGTTACTGCCTCCGAAGATGGGAGCTCTGAAATTTGGTGGCTATATAAAATCTGGTATTTTTCTTCTCTAGCTGTCTTTATTTTCATTTTAATATCTTTTCATTGTTCAAGAAATACCAGCTAATTGCTAGACGCAGTTATTGCTGCTGTTGTGGTAGTTGCTTATACACTTCTCTTACAATCATTTGCTTCTGCAGGTGGCTTTCTTTTGGGAAGAACTCTTGCTGTTCTAGTGACAATGACACTGGGGACATCAATGGCTGCTCGCCAAGGGCCAGATGCTATGGCTGCACATCAGATATGCATGCAAGTCTGGTTGGCTGTATCTCTTCTAACTGATGCACTAGCTACATCTGGTCAGGTACAAAAAAATTATTAATGCCAGTTACTTTTGCATGTTTGGTAGTGTTATTTATATCAACTTGTTTATCTTTATCGTTACATTTTATTCTCATAGACAATTTTATTGGAAGTCAAGTTGAACATTGTTTGAACACAGTTGATTGTTGAAAGTTTTACCAGTTCACGATGCTTTAACATGAGTTGCTGTTTTTATTGACAAAAAAAAAAAAAAAAATTCTAAATGTAGGTCTTGATTGCAAGTTACATATCTAAAGGTGACTTCAAGACTGTCAGAGAAGTTACCAATTTCGTGTTAAAGGTAAGCTTTCTGTATGATTTCTCATTTTGGTTTCTGGTGCTGAAACTATCAGGTTTTAGCCTAGATTTCTAGGTTCATGTGCTGGATGTGCAGGATTTTATATTTATTTTAAAACTTGATGTGCATTTCCTTTTTCAGATAGGAGTAGTGACAGGTGTTTCCTTGGCTGCAATTTTGGGGGTATCTTTTGGATCGTTGGCCACTTTGTTCACCAAAGATCCTAAAGTTTTAGGAATTGTTAGAACTGGAATACTGGTATGTATTAGAAATCGACACTCAGCTATTCTTTTCAACTTCATTTTCCTTTTCTTTGATTTCACTGTATGTATTTATAGGTGCCAATTTATATATATTGTTTAATGATTTCATCTAAATTTCTCACAGTTTATCAGTGCCACTCAACCTATTACTGCATTAGCTTTTATTTTTGATGGCCTCCATTATGGTGTTTCTGACTTTCCATATGCTGCTTGCTCTATGGTAAGCCACTCCATAAACTCGAAACTTCTGATAGATGTCTTTATTTTGATTGTGAAAACTTCACTTATGGCTTAATGTGTGTGTTATGTTACATGTAGATGTTAGTTGGGGCAATTTCATCTGCGTTTTTGCTATATGCTCCTCGAGATTTTGGTCTTCCTGGGGTTTGGTCAGGCTTGGCACTCTTTATGGCCTTGCGCATGGTGGCAGGATTTGTCAGGTACTTGGAAATAAACCATCTAGTGGGGTTCTTCACGTCCTAAATAGTGTTCTTCTGCTTATGCAGATTCAATCTTTGCATATTCTGTTGTGTGTTTTAACATATATATCTGCTGATAATTCTTTTATGTTTTCAGGTTACTATCAAAAACTGGTCCATGGTGGTTCCTCCACACTGACTTAGAGAAAGCCAAGGTTGGTAGATATTGATGATTCTGATTTTAGTTCATGGTTTGCTATTCTTTTACATGCATAACATTGATTTTACATTTTACCATATAGCATTATTCGATTGTTTGCTTATTATCAATTTAATGATATTTTATTTTTTGCCATTGGTTCCCATAAAAACTATGCTTCACATTCAGTAATTGATGCTAGTCTCTATTGACTCCAAGTGCTACCAATGATATGAGTTTTTATCTAATGGAACAAGACATTATTTACAGTAAGTGCTACTAATGATACGAGTTTTTTATCTAATCAAACAAGACATTTTTTACAGTAAGAAACTGTGATTAAAATTAATCAGTAATCTGTCTTTGTTTTTGTTTGCTCTTATAATTGTTCCTGATCTTTGTTTTGTGTTTGCAGTTACCTAGTAAATCAAATGCAATATCCTAGAACATGTTTTTCTTTCCTTTTGTTTGTTTCTTTATCATTTCGTTTATTTTGTGGTGGGGCTTCACTGTTAAGAGCAGTCAATGGAGGGAATATTCTTAGGAAAGCACTTGAAACTAAAAATTCTAGTAAGTGAAAGAAATTGAGCATGGAATTACTGAGGCAATGCTCGAATGGAAGTGAAGCTTAAGGGTGTTATGTGAGTCTTGAACTCTATGGCCTGTTGTTACTATAAAATAGAGAAAACCATTCCCTTATGATAGCAAAGTGAGAAGCAATGATTTATCTGTGAACATTACTATAATAGAGTCATTTTTCCACCAAAGGATAAGAAATTGACTACAAAATATTACTCCTCTAATCACACTTGAGATATTAGATCCAAAAATAGTTGTCTGCCAACCTTAACTGAATTCTTCTCCATAAAAAGAGGCTCTGATCACTAATTAGCATAAGTTGTAAGAATCTGTCATCTGGTAAAAGAAACATTGTTGTATTCAAGCAGTGTTGAGTAAGAATAGATTGGTGATTACAACCCCTTTATTTTACTGCAAATTTATTGCTTTATTGGTTTTTGTTTTCCTTTATTCTTCTCTTTGAGACGGGTACTGCTGATTCAATCAGGTTTATATCATATCATCATTTCCTCATTGGTTTTACCTTCTCGTTCGTTGTAGCGTTTATTTTCTTTTCAGATTTAATTGTTTGGTTCTAGAACTACTTAATCTGCTTCTTTTTCAGCTGGCCTGAAATCAGAGCAATCTTGAGGACACCGGTCACTGAGTTTGACTAATCTCGAAGAAATCTCAGTGGTTTTTATTTTTGGTTGATAAATTAATTACTTTGCAACATTGAATTCGTTGTAGCTTGTAGAAATGTTAGGAAACCTTAAACCACATGTTTATCTTATTGATTTATGTGAATGAACTAATTGCCTTTTGAATATGAGATTTGTCAACCCCGATCAGTACCTTCTTTCCTAATCCAGGTGCTTCAAATTGCATAATCTTCTGAAATAATATCAAATGTGGAGAGTTCGATTATGTTTGCATTGAAATTAAAAAAAAAAAAAAAAGGATTCAAATGTAAAAGGAGAATGAGTTGAAAGACACAAACTTTAACAATTCCAAATAGTCATCGTGCTGAAATTTTGAAAGTAAATACAGCAATATTCAAGACTCAATTGGTTTGCTTCGTGAAGATGAAACATAATCCATTGGTCCATATGGCTGAAACAATTCAGTAAAGAATCCTTTCTTTCTCTTTGGGTTCCATCCCATGTCCTTGCAGAGTTGATCATTGTACCATATTTGTTGGACAGCTAAACATGATCTCCTGTAGTAAGGGCCAGAGTATTGCTTAATGCATTTATCCCATTCCTTTGTATCCATATCCATTTCTTTTCTGCTTGGTAGCTTGAATGTGCCGTGAAGAAGCTCCGCTAGCCATCGAGATCCCATCTCTGAGACTAGCAAGTTTGAAAGACTTTCTGAGAATCCAATCACTGCTAATTGAGGAATTTGGGGATGAATCATTTCCCTGATCAAATGTGGAAAAGTATAAAAACATTAAATTACCTTGGTAAGTTTGAAGACTTGAGAATACATGAAACATAAAGCTTTTTATGTACCTGTAGAGCGGTAGTTTTTCATTTGGAGAGCCTGCTATGTAGTCTTGAAAAGTCTGGGACACAAAAATGTCTTTGAGCTTTTTATCACCTCTGAATCCTGTAGCCAATATGACCAAATCTGTCTTCAGAGGTGGAGTCTCTCCGTCAACCAAAATGCCATTTTCACAAAAACTAAAGCTTTGAGATTTCTTCAAAACGATGCTCCCCTCCTCAACTCTGTCATAGAACTTCTCAGGCACTATTGAGATCAAACATGAGCTTATATCTTGAAGGAAACTGTGTTTTGGCACCATTCCATACTTGCCCAACTGAAGCTTCTTCTAAATGTGACTTTCAACAAATTTTGCATATACCCATCTCTGTCATTTGTACAGTAAGTAAATTAGACAGGAGGAGAGATGTTTATTTTTTCTCAAATGCATTTAAAAAGGAATAAGTATATAATACCAGTGGCGAAAGCATTGTTGCCAAGAGATTTAGAAGGAATCCTTCTTCAGGTTTATGAAGCAAAAGTTCTGAGAATCTGTTCATGTAAAAGTATGCTAAAGACACCCCCCAGGGAAAGTAATCAGGAACATGCCAATGTTCAGTTTTGTATATAATTGTACATGGATGTTCCACTCCTGGAATTCAATGAAAATAATAAACATGCAGAAAATTTTTAATGATAGTTGAGGATGATGATGAAATATTTAAGTAGTCTCACCGTTTGCTGCTGTGCATTCCATTGCAATGTCCATTGCAGATTTCTGGAACCCAACAACAGTAACTCTTTTCCCTTTGACTAAGTTTGCAGCAACTTCATTATCCATGTTGGCATAGTCCATGGAGTGTATCACCTTGCCATGAAATGCTCCAGGACCCATGTCTGGAGGAAATTCTGGGAAGTGTGGAACATCGCTGAATCGCCCCACACAGAGAACTACAAAGTCAGCTTGGTGAACCTGCATATCAATTTAACTTTCAGATTGTGAGATACGTGGTGGACAATCTTGAGTAACCGACTATTTTTAACTTGCTTTCTTAGCCAAAACCCTGAAATTATCTCAAAAAAATTACAAAAAAAGTTTCTCTAGAAACTATCTTAGACTCTTTAAGTAATAAATACCTCAGTTGATTGTTTCTGTATGTCTTCTACTACAACCTTCCATTTCCCTTGAGAACTAAAGGGTTGACCATTGCCATTCCATAAACTCCAAGACTCGATCTCTTCATAGGATGCACCTTCATATTCAATGCCGACAACCTTGGTATTGAACTTGATGTGCTTAAGCAAGTCAAAGTGATGCGCATAAGATTGAAGATAATCAAGGACTTGATGTTGGTTGGGGAATAGATCAGTGACAGAAGATGGCCATGGAAAATCTGAGAATTGAAATGCTGGTGTAGGAGATTGTAGCTTAGTAGTCTCTATAGTTTTGGTCCAAACTCCTCCAACACTACTTTGAGCTTCAAAAACAATGGGATGGAAACCTTTTGACAGGACATACTTACAGGCAAGAAGGCCACTGATACCAGCTCCAACAATGGCTATTTGTTTCTCCATTGCCAATTAGGATTTCTTCCTCAAAGTACATCTGCCTAATATAATCCTTCACCCCTGCCAAAGGTTGGCATTGTATTTTCGTGTATCATATTTAAAATGTGATCTCAGATTTGTAACATTTAACAATATATTAATTAGAAAAAGCCTTTAGTTGGGGTCATTATTCAATTTGAATTGAAATTATTTATTCCTAACAAATCGTATGCTTACACTATTTCTGTATATGATATTCTCATGTAGGCCTCAACTCCTGAGGGAGTGATCTTATTGTAATCAAAGTTTAAAAATCCTGCCAGCTTTTGTCAGTGTCAACTAAAGCAATATTTTAAAGAGCATGATAAATAATATATCTTATTTAAATGCTAGATGTAACGTTTATATATAATTTATGCGAATCCCAGCCCCATTGTCGGTGGTTGGAGGATGAAAAAAGTATTTGCCCAAAGACAATCAACATTATTATCACATCAAAATTAATTTTATCGTGCTAAAGTCTCAATTAATGCATTCCCTAACTTTTTCAAAGTGTGATGTGAAGTGTCCCACTCTGATATTGCAATCAGCCTCAGGTCGTGTTCTCAACTCAAACCAAGATCAGTTCTTAGTTATAACGTTGCGGCCAGCTGCTAGCGTCAGAAAAAACGCATAAAAAACTTAAAATAACCCTGAAACATGTCGAAACGGTAGATTTTGGCCTCTAAAATGGTCCCAATTGGGTCCCCCAATTATCCACGAAGTAGAGCTTGGAACAAGCTTTCCGTGAATATCTTACGGGCTCCAAAACTCCTCCCGAATCAAAAGTTATGGCTGTTTTAAGTTGGCTTATCCGTTTAAGGCCTCCAAGCCGTGTGTTAGGGCTTCTGACATTAGCTTCCTCTAGGAATTTATCTACTGGACATTTCATGTCAGCTATTAGATTGTGCTCAGCTTCGGATCGCTCCAAGCTCTCAGATCACAGTTCTCGCTCTCAGCAACCGATCGCGCCAGGTATGGTTCGAGCTCTTCAGTTCGAGACTGCAGCCTATAGTGCGACATCCATTCAAATCAAATACCTAAGTTTTTGAAGCGCGCACGATTACGCACTCCAAAAATTGGGAGGCTTTTGTTATGCCTAAAAAGTCACGCTGATGTCAGCTCAATAAGTGCTTAAAAGACAAATTATACTTCCTGCAAGCCCATACCGCCTCAAAGATATCTTATACCAACCCCATCTTATTGTAAGAAAAGAACGGATGAGAGTTGTCCATGTGTCAAGGCAACTTGCAATACACTCGTCACATTGACTTCAGAGGTGTATAAATTGGCATTTCTCTTCACGAAAAAGAGGGGCTGGGCAGATGAGAGTTAGGCATAGATCTGAGCTTCATTTCATTATTTCTCTTTGTAATCAAAGCTTTTCTCCATCTTTGTATGCCTTACGGGCAATATCATAGAAATAGTCAGAGAATAATAAAATAACAGTAGACATAAGATTCGCTTTTCAGCATCCGAACCACTATAAAAACCCCTTCTTGCCAATCTTTTATTTATGTTTCTGCAGCATATATAACCTTAGCATCATATCCAAATCTCATGGATCCATCACGTGTAATTTCTAAGGCTCTCTTAGCATTTTGCACGTGCGAGTCATTGGCGTCCAAAATCAAGCGTCACCAAGTACCAAATTGAATAGGAAACTTACTGCGCCCAAATACTTACATCTTGCGGATTCGGACGCTAAACTTAAGTCTGATTTCCATTTTAGAAACGGTCAAATAATATATAGGTGGTTTGGAAGATTACTTGCAATCTGGTTAAAGCATATAACTCATGATTCATGAACACCTTCTTGTATTAGAAGTTATACAATATATAATGTAAGCTTTCAAAAACCCCTCATTATTAACCACTTACAAAAGAATTTAATGAATCGACTGAATACTAATACAACCATTACAAGAGTTTATCAGAAGACGTGCCTAATCCTTATTATGATATCAGAGTTTTCAGAACACATAGAGCCACGACAGAGAGGGCAAAATCTATGCTTGGATTTGGCCAGCCACTCATCGACGCAAGCTTTGTGATACACATGGTTGCAGTTTGAACGAACCTTACAGTCATCTCCATCTCTGAACTCCGTCAAGCATATAACACACTCGCTATGTAATGACTGCTTAATACTAGGATACTCATAGAAATACATCAGTAAAATACATGTATTGTGCTAAAACTAGTTGGGCCCGAAAATTTTCTTTTATTACATATAAACATTCTTTATACAAACTAGAATATCATTTACAAAATGCCATTAAAACAGTGGACAGTGTAGCTATTGCTCCTCACTTGCCGACGCCCATCCGACCGCGTTCTCACCTAAATCCTGCAACCACAAAGAAAAACAAGGGGGTGAGCACAAAATAATGCTCAGTAAGTAAATCCTTTACTCGACTGTACCCGTAACTCTTTCTCTTAATTCTTTCCTTACACTTTTTCTCATCTTATTTATTTTCTCTTTCACACAATTCTCTTTACTTAACTTCTGCTATATGTCACGACCTCATCTTACCGGAGGCACGGCCGGGTGAAGTTCACACAACATCAACCCACTCTTCGTGACTTTACTCGTTCTCTATTTGTTCTTTCTCATGTTTACTCATTCCTTCTCACTTGATGTCACGGCCTCATCTTACCAGAGGCACGGCCGGGTGGAGTTCACAAAGCACCAATCCGCTCTTAGTGACTACTAGGTAGAGATCACAAAGCACCAACCTGCTCTTAGTGACTACCGGGAGGAGATCACAAAGCACCAACCTGCCCTTATTGCTCTTCTCATTCTCTCTACTCTTAGAGTAGTTCATTCACACAGTTCTTTACTCTTTCTCAAGCCACTTCTCAATGCACAATTAATGTATATGGATGGTTCATCTCCACTAATGCACTCATGAAATGCCAACATGCAATGTTGCAAGAATTAAAGTTTACTACTCACGATTCTCTTAGGCATTTCATCAAACAACTGGTGTGCATACATAAACTCTACTTTATCTATAGTTCTATCCCTCTCTTGAACCATCCAAAATGGGAGAAAACTCCCTCACCAAGCTATAGTTCCTATCATAACATAACACTTCCAAAGAGATTTCTCAATCTCCTCCAATTTCATCTCAAACTACATTCTCATCACACATCACACTTCTCATAATTGAAGTGTATTTAACAACCACAAAGCAGTTATTCATCTCCATCTCAATTCTCAATAACATATCATCTAACATGCATACACAATTTCTATTAAATCTCTACTCAAAAGAGTTCTCAAATATCAACTTGGATTGGGATTTACTTACCTTGTAATGGAGAGATCTCACTAGCACTTTCCTTTCCTTTAGATTGCTTGTCTCTTCTCTACCCTTTAAACAATAACACCTTCAGACTTCAATATACAAATATATGCAAAACTTCACATCTAAAGCAAGAATCCTTACCTTAGGATGCCCTAGATTAATTTTCTATCCCAAACTACTCAAAAAGCCCTCTAAAATTCTTGAAAGGTTGAAGGACAAGTTGAGAGAAAACGGAAAATGGAAGAGGCGGTGGAAGATGAAGAATGAAGGGTTTACTAAGCTTAACCCCTTTTTAGCTCAAAATATCTTCATTCATTCCCATATTGCCCTTGCTCTTTCTTGAAATTCCATCCTTGTCTTTTGATTCATTACAATCACACCCCCACTCTAACATATTCTCCATAAAAGTTTCTTACAATTCACTCCCCACTTTTCTTGCTAATTAGGGATAGAATGGTCATTTTGCCCCTATGGAAAAATATCTTCATCAAACTTTTCAGCCAGCCCATCGCCACGGCGAAAAACTTTCCGTCGCCCCGACGAAGAATTACAGAACCGACACCGCAAATTACAAAGCCGACGTCGCCATTGCGAAGACTATTCTTCGCCCCGGCGAAGACCGAAATTCCAAAATTCGCTAAAACTCAACCAAAATCAAGGCAAACACTCAACCAAGGGTCAACCAACCAAAATAATAACATGCAAGCTCAAAAGAGAACACAACAATAAACATTCAAGCAATACAACACAATTTATCTACGTACCTCAAGTGGGGCGTTACACGCTGTTTTCGTTGTTTTCTTCTTTATGATAGCAGATATCCTAAAAGTCTGGGCCGGCTGTTCTTCCCATCTCATGGCAGCTCCTTGTTCCATATCATAAAAGAGAGGAATTGTATAACCTACAATTCTTGTTTGTTTACGAAGATAAATATATACCATAATGCTCTTTTTATTGCAACTTTAAACTCATAATATATGAAGTTAAATATGTGACTCTAATTGATCATCACCAGATAATTTGATGGTAAAAGAGTAAAGGAGAATCTAAGTTTATCCGGTCTCTCGAATTTGAGTCCCCATAGTCACTGGAGCTCTTACACTGCTGCTAATTCTAAGGTCTCGAAAGATTAGTTAAGGTGCGCGTAAACTAACCCGTAAACCAATATTTATTTATCAAATCTGAAAAATTAGGTTGTCCATCATTGACATTAGGCCTCAAGAACCATGACTTCATATAAGTTCCCTGTTTTAACTCCATACTTTTAACAAACACTATCAATTACATGCATGGTATCGACCAGACCACCGCAATTGGGGAGGCCTTGTATTTTATCAGACATAGATTTTATTTAGGCAATTTCTGTTTCAGGGAAAGGCCACTGCAGGTGCTGAAGCCCCCTTTTTTCTGAGGCCTCCACAAAACAACAGGTCACTTGAGAGACAGTTGAGTGGTGTAGCCCCCATGAATCACCAATAATCGTCGTTAGTGAGTCGCCAGAGCCCGGTTAGTAAAACCGGTTTCGGTTTCCATATTCTCCCAAACTAGTAATCGAACCGAAAATTTGGTTTTTTATTTTCTTTGAACTGAAACCGAACTAGTTTTTCTAATAACCGAAAATTCAGTTCGGTTAGCGGTTCAGTTCGGTTTTTGAATTTTTTTAAACACTTCTAATTATAACAATTAATCGTAACCAACTACCATTCTCTGTTTTCGACTAAGTTGAGTTTAATCGCAACATTTGTTCCTTTACCACTCATTTTATAATTACAGATTGTTCCTTCAACATATTATAACCAAAGTTGTAAATAAGTATCTGTTAAATCATTTATGAATCTTATTACGCATAAAGCAATCCCTTGTTTTGGTTCATGTTTACTGTACATTTTGAAGCCCAGGCAGGATTCATAGGAACTACTTTCAAAACATAGATTATTTTATAATACAAGATGAAAAGGTTGGAGAAATACGAGCCCCTATAGCTCAGTGGTAGAGCGCCAGTCTTGTAAACTGGAGGTCTGTAGTTCGATCCTGCATGGAGGCATTTGATATAATTTTTCGTCTGAGGAATAATTTTTATGAACCAATTCATGTGAGCAATAAGTAAATTTTGCAAGCCATTACTGTTGTTAAAGCCTACAGCAGTTGGTTAAACTTATTAACAGAAGATTCAAAGTGGTTTTATCTCCCATGCTAAAAGAATATTTTGATTAATTAAGAAGAAAATAAAATGAATATGTATTTGATTTGCTTATAAAAATCATTAACAAAGAAAATTGTACAAGTTAAACCATCCTAGAGGAAATTATTTAATCTATTGTTCTGTGTAAGGAAAGGAAAGGTTTGAGAGTAGTCAAGTTCAAGCCCGGTCAGTCGGTCACCCAAAAAAAAAAAAAAAAAAAAAGGTTCAAGCCCTGGAGATTAATATAATTATTAAAAAAAATTGTATTCATTATGAATAAAATGTGTAATAATTTTATATTACAAAATTATTCTTCCTTAAATTGCATTTTATTTTTCTTTAAAAAAAATCAAATTTCTAAATTTAAATTTAATCCGCACTGTTGAAAGTGACGTCATGACAAACAGTTGGGGATACTACATGCATGCAACCAACTTCACACAAATTAAAAGTCAATAACAAATATTTATTGAAAAATAATATTCATTTTTTAACAAAAATAAATATTCGAAAGAACGACAAAACTCACCGCCGCACGCACTAAAAAACCGGAGCTCATTTTTCTCATTATATTTTCTTCTTCATTGTAAAAAACCAAGCATAAGCGACACCGTTCTCTCCTTTTCCGTTCTTCTTCCAGCTCCTCTGTATCACCGCCGGTCCGCACCATTTACAGGTAATTTTTTTGTTTTTTATTCTCTTTGAATTTTGTCTTCCTTGTTCCAAAACCTTAAGTTAATTCGTCTCCTTCAAATTCAAATTAGTTTTGTTTTTTTCTTTTTTTTCAGTTCCAACAATCCTTCTTTATCCCCACTTTCTTTGCTGTTATTTTTAGAGTTGATAAATTACGTAGCTTTTGAGAAACAATAATTACATACGGTGTCGTTTTTGTTTTTGAAACAAAAACGGCACCGTTTTTGCCTGGCTGCACCGACTTTTGTTTTGGTTTCTTATAAAGTTGCCCAATCGGATAAATGTCATTACTTTTTGAAAACAAAACTCTGTAGCTCTTGTTTTAGGGATTTTGAATCTATCGCGACACAGGTAAGTTCGTCTTCATGCCAATGCTTTTTCTATTTAATTAAGTTGAGACCCTTAATTCTTTATAAAATTTCCTTTTTCGCGGTTAAATTTGAATTTCATTGAACGAGAGATGTCTGATTTAGTTCTATTTTGTTTCATTATTAGTTGACATGAAATTGAAATCAAGTTGATATATAAGTAAAAACCCTAATTTGAAACTTTGCGTTGATATAGATTTTTGAAATTGTTTACTTAATTTTAAAATCCTAATTGGTAATAAAATTTTCTCTATGCAGGGTTTGATATCAATATATATCTACAAGATGCCGGCCACCGCTGGACGAGTTCGCATGCCGGCGAACAATAGGGTGCATAGTAGTGCGGCCCTGCAAACTCACGGCATATGGCAGAGTGCAATTGGGTATGATCCATATGCGCCCAACAAAGATGAATCCAAGAACACCTCACAGCCCAAACCATCAAATGACGAACCTGATGCTGAGAATCCATACAATAGCTACCAGGGTCTTTTAGCTCTTGCCCGCATAACTAATACCAATGCTGATGAGGCCCGTGGTGCTTGCAAGAAGTGTGGCCGTGTTGGGCATTTGACTTTTCAGTGTAGAAACTTCTTGAGTGTTAAGGATGATATTAAGGAAAAAGACTCAGAAGCAATTCAGGCTGCAGTTTTATCTGAGTTGGATAAATTGAAGGGGAAAGTGGGGAAGTTGAATGGGAAAGGTAAGGCTGAGATTGAGGGGGCAAGCGAGGAAGAAGAAGAAGAGGAGAGTGACAGTTCAGATTCAGATGCAGATCCTGAGATTGAGAGGATTATTGCGGAGAGAAATGGGAAGAAGATTAGTAGTAGAGGCAGATCTTCCAGGAAGAAAAAAACCGATGTGTCAGATGAAGATGGAACAGACTCAAATTCTGATTCAGGAAAGAGGAAGAGAGGGAGGTCCAAGAAGAGGAGGATTGGGAAGAGGGAAAATAGTGACTCAGAGGATGAGGATGAAGGTGGAAGGAAGAGGAGGATGGAAAAGAGGAGGAAGAGGGATCGGTCCTCAGATGAAGAAGATGAGTATCGACACCGTAAGAGGAAGAGTAGGAAGGAAAAGAGGAGGAGAAGAAGTCATAGACATTCAGATGATTCTAATTCAGATGTGTCTGAAGATTCTAGTGGACATTATGAAAGGAAGGGCAGAAAGTCCAGATTGCCATCTGACTCTGATGAAAGTGGTTCAGATGATTCCCGTGGAAGGCGCACAAAGAGGTCTAAGAAAAAGAGCAGGAAACGCCATCATGAAAGGGATGAATAGAGGCATTGCTAGGAAGGTAACACATCACTTATTCTACAAAGTTCTTTATATTCTTGTAGTTTATGTGGTATGCTGCACTTTGTTTGATTTTGATTATGCATGCTGTTATTTAGATTACTTAATCTGCTTGTTGGGGCTTTGATTATAGGCTTGAATGTGGTGATGCTGTTTTATTATGCTTGGTATCAACCAAATTTATTTTGAGGAGGAAATATAATTTGCACGTGAAACATATATGGGTTATGTTGCCTTTGCAAATCATTTTACATGCTAACTACTAATAATAACTTCTTGGTTCTTTTTGTTGTTTTTCATTGTTCAGTTATGCTTACAGTTTTTATTTCTTTATTTATTTTGTTTTCTATTAACTTCCATCATGGTTCCTTCTTGGGGTGACATTATTGGTTAAGTAAATGTGTATCTTTTGTTTTCTCCTTTCTTCTGCATTAGTATGTATTAAGACTGAATAAAATGACATTCTTTTTCATCGATTATTTTGTTTAGAATCTTGGTTTTTCGGTGGATCCTGTCTTTTCAATTATTCTTCACGCCCATGAAGAATCAAAGGGCGATCTAGATAGTGGGCTGGCTGTTGTTGCATTAATTTGCTACTCTTGAAAAGAAATGCATCATCTCTTTCAGGATTCTCTTGATGCTATTGACATGTTTTTTATCGCATTTGATACAAAAACATAATCAATTTTATGCAAGTTATTCTGAAATTAAAATTTTGAATCTATTTATTTATAAACAAATGCATTATACTATTTGCTTATCTCTTACTGTTTCTATCCTTAGTAAATAAATTTAATCGCAACTAGGAAACTCTGGATGGTATCAATCCTGAATTCCATATCTCACCTTTGGAGAATTCTTACAAGTCATTTGCTTATAGTTAATTTTTGTTGGCTTTGCAGGCTTGCAGACAAGTGGATTGTAATGATTGTCCCCAAGATTCTTACATATTAACTATCATATTAGGCGAGCTTCAAAAAAAAAAAAAAGTTGCTGTTGATTTGTGTGCTTCAATTTAATCTTTGTTCTCCAAAAGGAAAAAAAAAAAAAAAATTGTAGGATATAAGAAAATTTGGCGGTAGTGTCTTTGTGTTGTGTTTAGACGACCTGTGAATAAGTTGACTTGATCAATCTTCCTACTGGTTGATGTTCCAAGTTTACCTGTTGTAACTTTCTTTTTCTTTATCTCTTTGTATTTGCTACTGGATCCGGCATTAATATATCTTCTGAGTTTGGGCAAATATCATGTCAAGTTTTGCAATCGTTAGCTTAGTGTGTTTACTCCATTTAGTTGCTGAAGTTATGGTAGACATGTGAATACCTCTGCATAATACTTTATAATTGGGTTTCTGGAGGCTGTTGCTACATGTTCCATATTAGTATCTGACAAATTTTAATTCAACACAGTACAGTAATTTGTAGTTAAAGTACGGTATAACTTTCACGTTGGAAGAAAGGTAATGTTTTAAAATCCAGCCTGGCCTGGCCAGTTTAATTGGGACCCGGAAGCTTTAACAGGTTAGGTTTATATTTTTTCTATTCACCCAAAACCTTAGGATTTGAGAGGATGATCTGTAAACAATTAACGGTCGGGATGTTGAAGCTTTTAAAGAGAAAGTGTCGGTGAATGCAATAGTGGTAACGGAGTTGATTTTCGGTGAGTAAATCAACCGGAAATTGAACAGAACTGGCGGCGGCAACAATTGGTTTTTGCCTGTGATTGACAAGGTTAACGAGGGTGGGGTCAAGTGGGTTTTGGTCGGGAGGAAGAGGAGAGTAATTTCTGGGTGATGGGAAGGGTTGTCAACGTCGACGTCGATGAAATCTAGTTTGGAATGTCGACATCGGCGTTGGTGAAATCTGGTCGAAATTGAACCTATTTTGGCCAGATCTTGGATATATTTTAAGGGGAATGAGTTCAAGGGATAATTGGGGTTGCATCTGAGGAGTCTCTGCTGCTAATCAGTTGTCAGCCGATTTGTATTTGGGATGTGTTTGCTAAATTTTAAATCTATAGGGACTTAACAGAATTTTAAGGTGTATTTGTAAATTTTAAAAGTTTTTGTCCACTGGGATACAGCAACTTTGTCGGGTTTCTACCTCAGGTTGGGTTTTAAAACATTGTAAAAGGGTTTAAGAAGAAACTTGTAGTTTAGGTGCCCTTCTATCTTCTTGTGTATCAAAGTCGTTTCAAATTTTTGCATAAATTAATTTTGTGTCCAAAGCAGCGTTGGTCCCTACCCCTGCTAATTAGAGACCATAAAAAGCTGAATGAGATGTGTTCGGCTTAATTAAGAAAACGTTGGCATATCTTAGATACATTCCTCGATCCAAGAAGAAGCTATGAACTTGGCCTCGAAATTCTCTGACATCAACAACCAGAGGCAGTAGGCCAGTAACCAGTAATGCATATTTATCAATTCAATTATTCAATTTCTAGAGAGCATAAATGTGTTGCGATTCTTCTTCAGAAAACAATGAAGATCATTAATCCTGCCGCAACTTGGGGGGTTTTCCTTTTAGAGGCAAATGCAGAAAAATAAAAATAAAGAAACCCTACTTTTATCCAAAAAGGAAATTCTACATGAATAAACAAAATGGTTTCTTGACCCCGTTTATGGTTTTTCCTTTTGGGACTATTCTTGTGTGGGTGCTTGTGAGTTGAGCTCTGCAAACCTCATGCCAACACGCATTGAATGCTTCAAAAACTTCTCAGCACATCGCATGACGCAGGTCTCCTCTTGTTTCTGTAGATTTTTGCGTGTGAAGTTATCCACACAGTCGTTGAAGCATCTCTCCACAAGGGAATTGTACATCCTCAAACTACACTTCCAATTCATGTAAACAAATAATAAGGACACTTGACAGAAATAATTATCAACAGGGTAGCATTAAGGAAACAAACGTAGATGCTTCTAAAATAATTCATATTACTAAACCACTTGCAGAGGAAAAAACTATGGAAGGAATCATGACAGAAGTAATAAGAGAAACAAACCAGTTAGAACACACATTTAGCATCCCAACAAATGTGTAGCCTCGCTACTAGACATGTGGCTCGGCCTACAGGCATGCCATGCATCTGGACCAGGTGTTCTTGCAGTTTAGTTTAATTGTTTATGAAGTGAAATTTTAGGATGGATGCTCAAGAAGTAACCCTCTTTTTCCTCACAGAAATTTGAAAGAAAAAACTACTGGAAGGAGAAAAAGTACAACAAAGTAAATTTTGTTCCCAAAACGTCCAAATACCGCATAACAAATGCTGCATTGGTTTTAAGGAGAACTACTTCTCGCTTCACTTAAAAAATGTCACAGATGTTAAAACCAATCGTGCAACCATCATTAAGAAGTGAAGCCATTGGAGAAAAGAAAAAAGAAAAAAATGGGCATAATGACTTAGCATAATAATATCTAAACCCTTAAAAGCACACTTAATACATTCAGCTAACAGCCAAAGATCAATATGTGAGCAAAGAAAACACAACATTTAATTGCTTAACCAAACCTATTCAGCTCTGACAATTTATTCAGAAACTATTCAGCCCTGAAACGACCCCAAAAAGTACAACACAATGACACTTTCAAGCTATAAGCTCATGGGCACATCACCGCAAAATAAAACGTAACACAAATTAACTTAGCATATGCATTCATAAAGCTAAGATGTATAACTTGAATTAGGCATACTAAAGATCTACCTTCTATGAAAATGAAAATCAATGTAAAATATTAAAAAAAATACTAAGCTGGTGTTCCCAAAACGTCCACTTGCAACACAAACGCTACATTGGTTTTAAGAAGAACATCAATTTACTTTAGCTTCACTTCCATCAACCAAGCCACAAGTTCACAAATTCGACCTACAACTTGCATTGCACAAATTTGAAAGCGAAGCCACAAGTGGAAACAAAAAACTCAAACCCACTTAAAAAGAAATCTTAAATGATGATTAGAGTTACAGCTTGATAGTTTCACATTAGTGTCCCAAATTACTTAAAATGAAGCAAAAACAAATAAAGGTAAGCATCCTAGTTGAAAAGTTAATAGAGGTTTGATCTGATACTGATGAACAAGAAGCAGAGAATTCGAAATAAGCGAATCTAAAGGGAACAAAAATGTAAAAAAAACCTGTCGCGCAGTTGAAGATGATCAATCATAGAAGTCATTCGGGCCTTGTCTTGCTCAGGAAGACCCTCGAGTCCTGCTAACATGTTCTTGTCCATACTGGATCCTGTGTCCTCCGCTAATCACCTCTCTATTTCTTCTTCTTGCTCTTGTTTCGGTGAACCAAAGGTAGAAGTAGGGTTTATTGAAATGGGGCTTTACGCTTATATTTTATACTTCACTTGCTAAAGAGCCGCCGTGTGGTCTTCTTCCTTTAAAAGGCCTATTCGAGACATACAGGGCCGTGAACTGGGCCTAATCACAGAAATTGAAAAATTACTATTTCACCCAAATCATTTACGTTATTTATGCTATTAGTTTGATATCTTTATCTTGTTTTTATTTACTCCATGATAATTTGAACTAATCTTATACTCCCTCTATTTTCAAATAAATGTCGTTTTAAATTTATTATTTTTTTCCCAAATAAATATTGTTTGACCAAAAAGTTGAGCAACCCTCTCTCTCTCTTTCTCGTTTTATGGTCATTGTCTCCTCTCTTTCTCGTTTTATGGTCCTTGTCTCCTCTCTTTCTCTAGCCTTCGTCTCCTCTCTCTCTCTCTCTCTCTGGCCCCTCGTCTCCTCTCTCTCTTTCTCTTTCAAACACCATTTAACTCTTCACATTTCTCTCTAATTTCAGATCTGGGACACTGCTGATCAAGAGAGGTTCAAAACTGTTACTTTTGCTTGTTATAAAGGTGTTGTTGGTGTACTCGTTGTTTATGACATTACTAGAAGAAGTAGTTTTGATAGCATTAACGTTGGCTTTAATAGTTCACTAGTAAGTAGCTTTGATAGCATTTAATTGTCTTGCCTCCACTTCTACTATGACATTGTTCAGCCCTGGTGAGTAGTGAAAAAACAGAGATGATAGAGTAATACACTTTAACACTTTTACATAGGCGGGAAAACTAAAAACCACACTTTGACAGGGAAGAGTAAATAAGAGATGGAGTATGAGAGGGAAAAATTGTTTACATTAAAAAAGTTTAGTACATTAAAAAGTGTGCAATTTGCTAAAATGACATATTTTGAAATGGAGGGAGTATAAAACCATAATTAACTATATGTATGAAATATGATCAAGAGTATAAACCCTAAGGGGGCGTTTGGTTGAGGGTTATATAGGATTACTAGGGTTATGTCATCTTATATTACTTGATTACCATATTTGGTTGTCAAGTAATATTACTTGATTACCATATTTGGTTGTCAAGTAATATAAAATTTCGGTAATTTTTTAATACCAATAGTAGTTACTGTTGGTAATATTGGAGGTAATCTGATGGAGTATAAGGGGGGAAAATTGTTTACATTAAAAAAGTTAGTATATTAAAAACTGTGCAATTTCCTAAAATGACATATTTTGAAATGGAGGGAGTATAAAACTATAATTAACTACATGTATCAAATATGATCAAGAGTATAAACCCTAAGGGGGCGTTTGGTTGAGGGTTATATAGAAAAACTAGGATTATGTCATCTTATCTTACTTGATTACCACGTTTGGTTGTCAAGTAATATAAAATTTCAGTAATTTTTCAATACCAATAGTAATTACTGTTGGTAATATTGGAGGTAATCTGATAACATCTATTTTCTTAAGTATTGTAAGATTACCAAGGTAATTTTATTTTTGTTACAATTCTATCCCTTATTAATAAAATTTTAGAACAATAATACCCTGATTTTTAAATTAATTTACATGAATTTGGCTTTTACTATTTCACCCCAATTAATTAACTTTATGGACAAAATTACCCTTGAATTTAAAACAAATTGCAGCCCACCTAAACCACCACCCCCACCCCCACCCCCACCCACCTACTGCTGTTGGAAGTCGCCAAGAGTCATTGAGAGACTCCAATATGGCCATTTCATATCGAAGTAGATTTGGTCGAAAATGGCCAGAATAGTTATAGCCATTTTGGGCCAGATCTACTCCGATATGACATTTTTTTGCCATCAATATGGCCAGAAACGACCATATCGGAGCCTCTCGGTGGCTCTCGGCTACTCACGACGATGTCTAATGACTTTTGGCGACTTTCGGCTGTAGGTGGCGAGCAGTGGCTTGGGGTGGTGGGGGTGATTTTATTATAAATTAAAGTTTTATATAAGTATGGGTGTTTTAGCTAAATTTGAAATGCTGGGGGTTAAAAAATTTATTTAAAAATCAATAATAAAAATAATATTATATTAATATTTAAAAAAAAAAACAGTTTAATAATTTAAATAGCAGAACTATCAATTTATTCCTCCAAACTAAACATATTAATATAATATCTCCACTAATTTATTCTAACTAATTAAACATATTTTCTTAAAAATTTCAAATAATTTTAAAGACTATTAATATAACATTTTGAGTAATCTAAATACATTTTTTTCCGTAAAGTATTATGAAAAATGATAGAGTTACCGAAAGTTACACATCGAATTTGTACACCGAATAACGTGACAAAATCCTGACCGTTAATTAATATTAACTTATAATAAATTAACGATTAAGATTTTGTTACGTTATTCGATGCACATCTTTCGATAACTATAACATTACTCAAGTATTATATACCCCGACATCAGTTAAAAGTGCATCGAGTCTGTTGTTCTGACTATTGAATTTGTCCAGAACTCTTTGTGATTCTATTATACCCTTCACATGTTAAATTTAACGGAAATTTGATTAGCAAACAGCTGTACTGCTTGTACTGGGTGAATAAAATTAAGCCCGTAAAAAATCTAAACAAATAGAGCTACTTTTATTCCTAGAATCTCTACTAAATCCATTCACGGTTAAATACCAAAAGCCCTGATTTCATATCTCTTCTTTATCTCCAAAAATCTTGATTTCTGTAACCCAATGTGGTACCTAAGTAGAACACCTCATGTCTCTTCCAATACAGAACCGAATGATCTTTCCATTTTCACTTTAAATAATTCTATTTTTCCAGTATCAGACAGTGGCATTTTTCAAAACATTTCAATCGTTCAAGTCCCGAAAGAGCTTCAACAAAATGATGATCAAAAGCAACAACACAGGTGTTGGTGCAACTCATGGGAGTGGTTTGCATATCTATGTTCTCCCATGCAATTCCACTCTGTGGCAGTCCCTCGAAATCCATTGTTTAGAATTCAAGTTATTGCGGTACTGTCTGAGCAAATTTTGTGCGCCAAGCTGCCTCTTGGTATTCATCTTCATGCTACATTATGTAGTTATTCGTTTGAAGGCAATATGTTAACAGATGTCCCCAAAATGCAGTGCGGGGATCGGAATCTAATTGGTGCTTCTGGTGCCATTTTTGATGGGTGGTTCTACCTAGCAGGCGGGTTTAAGGGGAGCCCTTCCGGTAAGTGTATACTTGATTTCATGTGTATATATTTTTTAAGACTGGCCCTTTATGATAAAGATTACTGTAATACTTAGTATTTTGGGCAGAGCCATTGATGAATTAACAAGTCCATCATTGATGAAGATCTCTTAATTCAAATCAGTTTACATCAGGGGTAGCCTGCAAAGAACTTTCTATTCAATTTTCATAGCATTGCAAAAAAATTTCCTTTATGTTATACCCAAAATAGTTTCATTGAAACCTGAATAAATTCAGTATTTCATAATATGATTACTTAGTCCTTTAATATGAAGATTTTTAGTCTTTCAATTTCGCCATAAATTAATGTATACTAAAATTTGGAAAAAACCATAATTTCGCTAACTCTTTTTCAAGGTGAATTTCCATCATCGAGGTCAAGTCTAAGCACCTTTTTATTTCATTGGTTTCTACAGATGTTGAACCTGCAGAGTATCTAAATTTGGCGGAGAAGTTGAACCTGAAGACGTGGGAATGGCAAGCACTACCACCAATGCATATACCAAGGGCTTTTGGAACAGGCCTTGCTCTCAATAACAAGTTCTGCATCGTGGGTGGTGGCACAACCCTCAAACGCTCAGCTGAAATTTACGATCCCAGCAAAAACTCATGGCAGTTGTTGGAATCATTTGTTCCTAAGGAGGCTGATGGGTTTGCTGTGGCATCATTGAACTCCCGTTTGTTACTGCTCACTTGGTCAAATTGGCTAGGAGTGAAACTCTGGATGTGGAATAAATTGATTAATCTGAACATTGGAGGGTGGAGACTGATTAGTTTCTTTCCGAACCAACAAGTCGAGAGGTTAAGGGTGAGGCAATATGGAGCAAGAATGGTGAGAGTTGGGAAGGAGGTATGGGTTTTAGTTGGAGAAAATGAAAGTGTTCGTCAAGTGGATGGAGGCAGTGCTTGGCCAGTGTTTCCGGCGCCCATGTTCAGGCCTGATAATGGGCATGAAATTGTGCAGAAGGGCCATATCTATGCATTCCACTTCACGGCTGGTGGAAGAATTAGTTGGAGACAAATACCCGTTTACTCAATTTGAGCTGCATTTATTTCATGGATGCAATCTCTTGCTCTGTAAGAATTTACTGCATAATTTATGGCAGCTGAGTTGATTTAGATTGTTCCTCCAATGTCAGAAATCTTTCATTGAATCTAAGAACAAAAATCATAAGACTGACTAGAAATTTTATAGTACTCAAAACAGAGTAAAAAGTAACACAAGCATCAAGATTGCATTAACATGATCAAAGCTGAGCCTGTAATGAACCATCTTCATTTCATTTCAGAATGAATTATAATATCATGAAAAATGCTACGGCTACAATACAATCTTACAATCCCAACGTGATAATAGTTTAACACTATTACATCAGCTCCCACCACATCAAAACACTAGCAAAAACAGATGTTTATTCCTTTATAGGGAATTGCTATTCTTTAAGAAACAACCAAAGAAATGGTTAGGAATAATCACCTCTTTCATAAGGAATAACTGTTAATGGTTGGACGATTATTCTTTTTACGAGGAACAACCGTTCCTTATGAATTCTTTAATCTAGTCAAAATCATTTTATTAATATAACAATATTAACTCACGTTAAGATTATGAAAAAAAAATTGTGGGCATATCATTACTCTAATATCATTAATCAAGGATGTAATGATCTTATATTACAAATGTCATATAAATTTAGAACTTGCTATAAGAAGCCAAAATGCTTTATCGCATCAATTGATAAAGCAGGGTATAAAAAAGGTTAAATGGATGTGACAACAAAAGCTCATACAAACCGATGAAAATTATACAGAGGATCCAGGTCCCAGACAAAGCTATCATTTACCACCTGAATCAAATAATTTCAACGATCATGTTCAGTTCCCACTTTATCGTCTATCGGGATTCAAAACAAAAATTCAATTTTTAAATGATATTTCTGAATGCTTTATCAGATATTACAAAAGGGTTTATATTGAAGAAAAAATTCAAAGAAAATACCGTGACAAATGTAGCGTCCTAATAACAACCACGTTTCAACACCGTCCTTTATAAGCAAACAAACATGGTATTAGTAGGATCAGGTTAACATTCAGAAGAGAAAAATATCAGAGCAAAGTGAAAGTGTGAGTGAAGAAAAGAACAAGAAAGATGCCGAGCAGCAGGTTTTCAGGTTCTTTATCAGCCCCGAAAGTTGATGTGGCTATAGACATGGGCAATCCATTTCTCAATGTCACCGTCGATGGTTTCTTGAAGGCTGGAACTGTAATCTTTCAGTTATTTTCTTCTATTTCTTGTTTATTTTTCTTTTAATCTTCATTCATTGTATCTTTTAAATTAATCCATCGATCGGTGTTTGGTGTTTTCAGGTGGCAGCTGCAAGATCAGCCGCAGAGGATGCATTTCACATCGTCAAAAGCGGTAATCTTTTCTCTCCTTTTGCTTTAAACAAGGACATTTTAACATTCTTGAGACTCATCAGTTATTTTCGGCTATTTTCAGGGAGTTTTTCGAGTCACAATTTGGAGAAAAGTGTGAGTATTGATATTTTGAGATTATATTTTTGCTTCGAAGGAATTCTAGAGATTATTCAGAATAGTTGATTGTTAAATCCATGGATTGCCTTGTTTGATCCCATCTCACCGCTCGAAAATACTTTCCTTTTTAATCAAAAGTGTTCATTAGTTTTTTGACACAATAGAAACAGTATTGACATCGGAAAAGCATAAAAAAAAAATATATATTATAGTTCTAATGGAAAATGCTGTTATTGCAGTTGAAGAAGATGTGTAAAGAAGGTGCATATTGGGGTAAGGGTATTGTATATATCGTATTGTCACATATAAAAATATGTTCTGTCAAAGATTTTGTAACGTTCCTGGACAAATTCTTGGCATTCTTTATTTTAAGAAATGAGGAAAGCTTTAATATCTTAATCTGTGCAACAACAGGAACTGTAGCTGGAGTTTATGTGGGAATGGAGTATGGAGCAGAAAGGCTTCGTGGAACCAAAGACTGGGTATGTTCACTGTATTTGGCTGAACTGTATTTCTTCGTCGCTGTTAGTTATAAGAATGTTCAATCTCCCGTTGTTTAATTGTTGTGAAATGTGAAGCATTGGTTAATCATAAGTACTTGCAAATTTATTTGATGGATTTCTCTCTATATCTATTTCAACTAATAATTCTAACTCCCTCTATTTTCTGTGTCTTTGGATAAATTGCAGAAGAATGCCATGGTTGGGGGTGCTTTGACCGGGGCTCTGATCTCAGCAGCTACCAACAAAAGCAAAGACAAGGTTGTGATAGATGCCATCACAGGAGGAGCCATTGCAACTGCTGCAGAATTCCTCAGTTACCTCACCTGAAACGGGGAATTGAAGTTCTTTCTTTATCTCGAGTAGTTATTTTATGTTTATGTTTCTCTCATCTCTTCATAAGAACCATAATAATGTCAAAATAACGAAGACATTTCTCATCTGGTTGTAAAAGTCTTTGCTTAAAGGACAGAGATGGTCTGCTGAGTTGAAAAAACCAGCAGTGACATATTTTTTTTTTTTTTAAAATTAGAATTTTTTACCTTGGTTAAATAATATCGTTTTATTATGATGAAGGGTTATAATAACTTTCTGAAGCAATAAAAAATACAGTTCAATAGAAGGTTATCATGCCACTGGTAAAGGACAGGGACCTGAAAAAATTATCACACTGATGTTTATGAGCAGTAAGGTGCATCATAATAGTTCTCATTTACTAAGGCTCATGCCATTGTTGTTCACATTCTTTGAGCAAGAGGTTTTAGAAATGCGCTTGAATGTTATTTAGACCACCCCGTGGAGCACAAAAATACTGAAATCCGAGACTAAAAGTGAAAAGGCTAATTGCTATCATATAGGAGATCAGAATTGTCTTCTTCAAAACCAGTTTTTTCCAGTAAATTATTTAATGGTTCTATTCTTCACACTTCTACCTGTTTCCTCAAAAGCTGGCTACTTAAAAGAATAGAAACTGCATCGATCATGAAGAAACTGGCTATACTAAAGTTAGAACTGCATCGATCATGCACCATCCGAAAGTTTAATTGATTGCCATATACTCATAAACTTAGCAGATGCGAATGTTATCAGAAAATCAAAGCTGCAGGCTCCCTTATTTCCACAGCTTCATGGAATATCCATGCATGCCGAAATCCCACCTACCCACCCATAATGTAAACCCATGTTCGGATAACAAGTAATTGTCACTGCAAGTAGCCAGTAAGGGCCCATGATTTAAGAAGTTTTCAATTCTCATAGATAGCTGCAACTGAAAGGGTTCCGCAAGGAGTTTTACCCTGTTTTACTCTCAGCAGTCAGCTCTGAAGGGAAAACCAACTTAGCAAGTAGCAGACATACATTCAACAAAAATTTCAAGACCATCTTTCCCCATATTTAACACGATAATGCTACCAAACTTTTTCCATCTTGTTTATCATATTTTCTTCAACTACAACAATAATACATTAAAAAAATCTATGATATTTCTACAAGAAGAATCAGTCAATAAAGAATAAATAAAATTTATCAGTCATACAAGTTTATCTTCTGATTTGAAACTGTTCAGCAAGTTTCAATAAGCTATAGGTTTCAGAATCAGGCCTCGCCCCTCCTAGAATCATCCTTCTCAAAATATTTGGGTCATAAATTTTGGCCTTCACGTAAGCCTTTATCAAAGTATTGTACACAAAAGTATACCTGGTATAATTAGCTTTCTTAAGTTCATCAAATAACTTCTCAGCATTCCCAACATCACCCCTCTCTGCAAAAATCTCAATTATTGAAAGAGTGGTCTCCAACCATGGAGTTGAATTCCTGACCTTTTTGCTTGTTGTCAATTCCATTCCCAATCCCAGAGTCTTCATCCCTTCCTTGAATATATCTACTTTGAAGCAACCCAAAGCAAGATGTCGATAAGTTATGGAATTTGGCTTGCACCCATTCAACTCAATTTCCTTGAGAAGCCCATAGGCTTTATCTACTAACCCATGTTTGCAATATACTGATATCATGGAATTGAACTGCTCAGTTGCTTTCAACTTTTTCATTGTCTTCATTTCTAACCAAAGCTCTTCAGCCCGATTTAGCTGTGCCATTCTACCAAATGCTTCAATTGCCAATATGTAACTTTTAGACCGAACATTAGGGAGTTCTCTCACAATGCCCCAAATCCTCTCTAGATCCTCTCCTTTCCCCATATATCCGTACAATATGATAAGAACATCCAGGGTTGACCAATTATTCCCTGTCATAGACTTCTCCACTGCTTCAATATAGGCTTCAGCCACAGTGTACAACCTTGCCACTGCATGTGCAGTAGCCAATATGCAATAAGATACTTCACTTGGTTCAACCTTTTTATGCTTCATATCACCAAAAACCTTCACCAACCCTTCAATATTATGGTCATTAGCTTCAATTTTCATTAGAATGTTGTAGGTGGACACATGTGGCAACACCTTATCAGCCTTCATTTGCGTGAGAATTTTCGGGATGGTTTTCCTCCGGCCTGGAGATGAGTGGAGGATTATTAGACGGTTGAAGACCAAATATGATATGGAATAACCCAATTCCCTCATTTTCTTCATGTATGCAAGAGACAGCTTTATCACGCCTTTGTCCAAGCAAGCGATAACAAGATTGTTATAAAGCAACTCATTCTGAAAATCCGACGGTACACAGCAAAAGAGCTTCTCACCCTGTGATATCCCGTGAAGTTTAATAGTGAATTCCAACAGATAAGAGTAGTCTAATTCTTTAGGCATATAGGGTCTCTCTCTGATCACCCATTCCATCACCTGTCGAAGTAATAAAACACTTAACATACATTTTATTTTATAAAAATTCCATCAAATTTATGACAGTTTTTGAAAATAAATAATCCAAATAACGTATCTATGCACCTAAAAGAATTCAGTCAAACATTTAAACAAACATGTTCATTGCTTTATAAGTTTCCGCACAAATATATTCAAAAGCAAGCAAAACTGATTAAAACAGAGTACCTCAAGAGCCCGTTTGTTCAGTTTAAGCTTTCTCAGACGATTAATAGCGTGAAAAATGTCCCCTCTGTGTATGGGAAAACCCTCACCCATCCAGCTTTGAAATGCGGACCCAATTGGTTCGCCTCTTGGTAGCCTTTCAATTCTTAAAGACAAGCACTTGGTTTGTTGTTGTTGTTTTTCCTCAAAACTTTTCTCCGGGACGTCATTGGTTGGTTGGGTGCAAAGAAAATTGAAACCAGTAGCTGTTTGGTTGGAAAATGAAGAGGTGATTGAAATTGTTCGACGTATTGCCTGAATGAATCTTCGTTGGCCCAAAAGGCCGAATGTTTGCATGCTTTTCCTCTTTTGATCAGTTAAAGAAACTTAATTTTGATTCAATCAATTTAGAAGGACAGAGAAATCAATCCAAATATTTGGCTTTGGGACAAAGACAAAGGCAAACTACGAGAAGTAATATTTCATGTTCACTGACTTGTAATATATACCCTTTATCTATTATCATATTGAAAACATAATAAATCACTCCTTCCAAACGATCTCAAATTTATATTTTAAAATGAGTAAACGACATTTTCCCACCCAAGGTTTGCCTTAATGACAGTTTCCCACCCAAAGAGTTTCAAAATACCAATTTACTACCTAAAGTTTATATTTTGGCCAATCACCGGCCAATTCCGGCACCGTTACGACCGCACACCATCACCATTCTCTTCCTCAATCATCACTCAACAAAACCCTTCAAATCTTGCTCCCACTAACAGGGGCGGATTCAGCCCCTTTGAGGGTAAAACTTTTAAGACTGAAATTGTTGAAGCTTTCACTATTCAAGATGTCACAATTAGCTCTGTTTTCTATTTTATCAATTTTATGTATGTGTATTGCTCATTTCAATTTGGTTTATTTTAGGGTTGAATCGTGCATTTTTTTTTTTTTTTGAGGTTTTTTATTCTAATTTGAGGGGAAAAGACATGGATCTTGTGAGTTTATTTTGTATTTTGTGTCTAAGAATGAACTTGTTTCCCCAAATTAAAACCTTAATTATATTTTAAAAGACGTTATTCTTCACCCTTTACCCATCACTTTTCTACATTTCAAACATCACCATCCTACTACTCAAAATAAATAAAGAAATTTGAGTTACTATCTATGTTTATATCAAGATTTTTTTTATTTATTAATTCATATTAAAAGTCAATGCAATGTTGACTTGATTTAAATTTTGGTTGACTTTAGCTTAGGTTATGTTTGGTCAAAGTTATGATAATTTATATTATAATCTTTGGAAATAAAAAAAATAAATAAATAAATTTAAAAGAAGGTTTTGCTCAAGGTTTATTTAACACATTTACTCAAATTTTTGCTTCTCATAAATTTATTCAAATAGGAAAGTATTGCGTTGTTACATTCTTTTTTCTCAGGTTCTTGATATTGTATTATTTTCTTTGCTTAAGGTTTCATGATTTTTTTTAAGTTTTTACTAGTTATTTAGTAAATAATGACGGAGCCACGGAGGCCCCTCCTCGACAAAAATTCTGGATCTGTCACTGTCCACTAACCCTGCTAATTGTCAAAAATTGAGCGATTTGTGGAACGCACAACCACTCCTCCCAAGTCAGATTCTGATCAGTTTCTACTATCAAAATTTAATCTATTACCACCAAAAGACTCAATAACATCTTCTTTTCAAAAGCCTCAACAACCTAGATAGAGTTTATTTGAGAAAATGTATTCTAAGTAGTAATCAAAATATAAACTTTATATAATAAATTTATATTTTAAAATCTTTTAGATGAAAAAGTGTCATTAACGCAATCCTCGGTGGAAAAAAGTCGTGTACTCTTTTAAAAATAAGATGATGACACTTAATAATTGCTTTCGTGTAATTAAAGATATAAAAATCAGACTATAAACTTAAAAACATAAAAACATTCAAGGTAATAATTATAATAATAATCTAAATGAAGAATAAAAAAATATTAACCACCAATTATAGAATCTGCTTACAGAGTTTTCTAAGTTATTCTTGACGTTACGAAGAATTTGATTGACTTCATAATATGATAAAACAGACAATTAACTGGATTTGATGGATGGAAACCTCACTGTCAGTCCTTGCTGGAGCCTGGAGGCTAAAATGGAAGGGATACCAATCTGCTGCCCCATCAGGGCTCCCTGTAAGAAATTCAGACCCCAATTAATTATTAACTTTTGAAATTTATTATCCTTTGTTAACACTTTTCTACACAAATCCATAAAAGATATCGAATACCAAAAGACACTTCTTATCGACAAAAGGAAATCTGCGGTGGATTTGGTGCCTTCGCTCTCTAACTCGCGTGTGTATACTTGTATTTCTGGGGTCTTCGCTCCCTTCAGTGTTCTGTGTACTTCTGTTAGGGATTTGTGCCCGCAGAAATATCAGTGCCACATTCATTTTCTGAGATTAGAAAGTTCTGCAATAATTACTCGTTGGTTTCTCAGTTTACAAATTTAGATCGCTTTCAAGTTACAATACCATGCAGGTCCTCTGCAAGATTTTGCGATTAATCTGCGTAAATATGACATTTCTTTTCTTCTATGATTGAAAAAGGTTAAAAGTAGAAAGAAGACAAACTCTTGTCATCTTTAGCAGGAAATTTAGAATATCTATACATAAAAATTAAAAAACATACACGTCTCCCAAGAAGATAAGAAGATTAGGTCAGAAAGGATTTTCAGATCCACCTAACTTCAAATTATGAAAACAACATGACACAAATTCAGAGAAACAAAAGTATAGCAATAGTACAGCATAATTATTGAAAGGAGATGCATTACTCTATTGATTTTCACAGATCCACCCACTCCTTTCAGAAATACAAATACATGGAACTCCCAATATTAAAAGCAGCGGCAACGCAAACCTTACAAAGACACCGACTAGCCAAGGCTCTACAACAAAATCCAGCAGAGGATTTTTGTATTAGCCTTGGCTTTCTTATTTACAGCAAAGAGACCTAAGTTTTCTTCTTATTTAACTTTAGATAACCATAGCTGCTTTATCTGGGTACGTTCATATTTCACTTCCCACATTTGCAGGGGTTGCAGGAGCAGTTGGCTCCGCAGCCGCAGTTCTCAGCTCCATAGTTCATCTCAGATCCCTCAGAGAACCTACAACATCAGCAAAATTCCAGATTATTATCATGAAAAAAAATTAAAGTTTGAAACTTTCTCAATGAATTTGTTACTATTTGCATAATGTTTACATACATCTTCACAGGAGCAACCCCAACGATGAGGGTCTCAGTGGTTGTGGTCTCCGAGAGAGACAAGTCAGGGTACATGCCACATCTGCATGCATGTCAAAGAGAAAGATCAGAAACTAATTAACAAGTAAAATCAAACTAAATTCACAAAAATTAGAACATCTAAAAAAAGTAAAAAATAAAAATATAATGGACTATATACCCGCCGCATCCGCTGCCGCACTTGCAGCCGGCACCACAGCCACAGTTTCCACCACAGCAAGACATTTTCTTAGTGAAAAGGAGAAGACCTGCAAAGACGTACTGAACTGGGGATTTGAGATCACTGAAAGACTCGGTGTGTGGGATGAGATGTGGAAATGCGCCCTTGCAATGCTATTTATAATGCAGGAGATGTGAAAGAGATTAATCTTAACCGTCCATTTGGCAGAATCTTATATCAGTTGTGTCTTGATGTGTTACGATACTTCTTGTCATTAATCATTATACTCACTCCTCGTAACGTGTAATAAAATTTATACTTACCTCTCACTGTTAACAAGAAGTAAAACTGGTTTTATTTTTTTTATTTTTTTATAATCAAGGTAGTCAGGCCAAATGGCCAATCTTGGATGATAAACGTGATAGATGATAATTTTGTAAAACTCCAACAAGACTTTTAGATGATTGATTTAAATAACTAAAGTCTTTTTCTCCAGATAAAAATTAGTGGGGAGAGAGATTTAAAATGTATTAATATAATTATGATATGATATGATGTGATGTATATTATCTGTGATGTCAGAGTGGTAGAAAAGGAGAGATGGAGAATTAAAACAAAGCATTGAGATTCTTTAAATCCATTTAAGTAAACGAGAATATTAATCATGAAAATTGACCAAGTAAACGAAGGCCAATTTTTTTAATAGAAAAATCTTAGCCATCCACTGTGGGAATATCGAAATCCCGCAGGCGGTTGGGTAGGACCCTCTAGAAATTATATTAATTCAATCAATATCAACAAAAAAATATATATTAATAAATTAAGGAGTAACTATCTTATTGATAAGTGTTAAAAAAGGTTTGATAAGATTAAATAAATCTAAGTCTTGAATCAAATACGTACGTATGACGGTATGAGTATGAACTATAATAAAACTTAAATTCTTTAAATTATATGTACCGTTCTACTCGATGTCGATTGAGGGTTGAAGGCCTTGAGGCTCTTCTATAACCTTCTCTTCATTAGAGTAGACGTTTCTTCGCAGTTAAGTTTTGTCTGAATGACATTTTTTTTAATCTAAAATATTTTAAAATACTATTTTTTCAGCAAAATTTATTTGAAAATGGCATTTTCCTACACAAAGTTTGGCGAAGCAACACTTTCCCACTTATCAAGTTTTAAAATGACATTTTCTCATTCTTTATCAGGTTCTGTTAATGTTTTATTGAAAAGAATACTTTTAAATAGTTTATTAAAAATTAAAAATTAATTAAGTCAAAGTTTTTACTTGATTATTTATTAGTTCAAGTGTAAAAATATCATTTTTCTTTTGTTTATTTAATTAATTAAGAATATTGATTTTCTATATTAATTAGTAAAAATGAAAAATATTATATTATGAAAAATATTATAAATTTAATAAATTATTTAACGATAGTGATGAGTTATTTATGATATTATAAATAAATAAATATTAAGACCATTTAACTTTAATCAATTTCATAGCATTATTCTAAACTTTTTAGGTGAGACTAACTATTTTTTCTTTTTTTCTTTTTAATATTTAACTTTTTAACTAATTAAAAGTTAAATATTTAAATATATTTTCATCTTTTCAGTAAAATATTAACATATTAACGGAAAATATAATAGAATCTAACGAAAGGTGGGAATGTGTCATTTTGAAACTTGAAGGGTGTAAAAGTGTCGTTTTACCAAACTTTGGGTGGAAAAATGTTATTCTCCCCTGTATTAGTTGGTGTTATGCAAGTTAGCAGGAGCCAAGTAGAATATGTTTTATCAAAAATATATTTCACTTTCTTGCGAGTTACCAAGAGCAAGGTAAAATGTGTTTTGTAGAACAGGGACAGATAGATCCAACGACAGTGATTGAT